GAACTGCTGACCTTAAGGTTCGCAGCCCAATTCGTAACCACTACGCTACCAGAGCTCCTTAAAAGCTTTTAAAAAAAACTTCATCTGCCAACAGGTGAATGGATTTACTTCTGGGTTCTAATTCTGGTCCTTCAGTCTGTGTGTGTCATTGCACCAGTACCAGGCTGTTTTGACCACTGGGGCAGTGCGCTGTAGTTAAGTCCCATCAAGTTGACTTAGACTCCTAATGAGCCTGCATGCCTCTATGGGTTTCCAAGGAGCAGTTGGTGAGTTTCAACCCGGACCTTGTAGTTCAAACCAACCTTGCAGTACAGTGTTAAACCTACAGTGCCACACCAGGACTCCCCACTGTGGCAGTGTTGTTATTGTTGTTGTTAAGTGCCATTGAGTTGATTTTGACACATAGCTACCCTGTATAGGGTTTCCTAGGAGCACCTGGTAAGCTTGAACCACCGACGTTGTGGTTCCAACTGACCTTGCAGTCCAGCTCATTAACCCACAGCACCACACCACAACTCCAAACTATGGCCATATTGTTTTTGTAGTTATTAAGTGCCGTGGTGTCGGTTCTGACCCATAGTGACCCTATATAGGCTTTCCTAGGAGCAGCTGGTGAGCTTGAACCAGCTTTGCAGTCTAGCACATTAACCCACAGTGCCGTGGCAGTATAGTAGGTTTTAATACTGAGAAGTGTGAGGTCTCCTACTTTGTTCTTCTTCTTCAATGAAAGCAAAAGAAGACACTGGGAGGAACACAATCCTGGTTCTCCTTTGCAAGTGACTTTTTGTTTTTCCCCAAAGCACTTTCCAGGATTCTTTCATAATCTTTAGTCTAGGAAAGTCTGATTATACATCTTGGTGATTTTCTTTTGGGGTCTATTCTGTTTGGGGTTCACTGAGCTTCCTAAATGCCTATCTTCTCATCTTTCATGGTATTAGGAAAGTTTTCTTCCAACAAATCTTTAACAATTTTCAAAGTGCTTTATTTGTCTCTTCTTATTTTGGAATTCCAATAATAGAAGGCGAGGTATAGGGACACAGTCTGCTGGCCAAAGAGGTATTAGGGGTCAGATGCCCACTCCAAAGGATTAGGATAAAAGGTGATGGGAGATTTAAAAAAAAAAAAAAATGAAAGAGAAGAACTAAGAATAAAGAAAAAAATAATGATTTTAAAAGGGGGAAACCAATGGAAATCTGGGGACATCTGATTGATTGTCGAGTGGGTCAGGGTGGGGATTGTATCACCTCTGGTCACTGTGAGACTGTGCAGAGGAGAGGGTCATACTTCTCAAGTCACTGAGATCTGAGGGCTGGTTTAGCCCTAGATGATCAGATCCAGTTATATGGTTCCTGCCCCAATCAGAAATCTGCTTGTAAAAATTCAAGATGCCCATATGGTGCCATGCACATTGGTAATTCACCATTCCATCTGTCCCCTTGTCTGCTGTTTTCATTTAGCCTCTTCCTCTAATCAGTATTTGATCATTTCTGTTGACGCTCTGGATTCTAGGATCATCATTTATATCTGTTTCATGTCATTTCTTAGGTCTCTGTTATAAAAAGTCTGTAGACAATGACTTAGTATGCCATCTTGGACACTTCTGGTCTTCCATTGTTGTATTACTTCTTTATGCTTTCATATTGTTTATGTTTTTTCAGTAAAAATATTTTATTATGTACTTTTAAAAAACAGAAAAGGAATTTTTATTTACTTTTAAAAATAAAATTCTAACATTATAAGGAAACCTGGTTCTGAAATGATTAAGTGTTTGGCTGCTAACCAAAAAATTGTCAATTTAAACCCAATCAGCAACTCAATGGGAGAAAGACCTGGTGATCTGCTCTCACAAAGATTTCAGCCTAAGACCCGAATGTCCATTTGCAGAAAAATGAAACACGGTCCATATCTCTCATCATATAAATAAACTAACTCAAGATGGATCAAAGACCTAAATGCAAAACCTGAAACTATAAAGCTCATCAAAATAATAGGGATAATCATAGGAGCCTTAATACATGGAAAAAATATACAACCAAGCATAACTAAAAACACACAAACAACTGAGGACAAACTAGAAGTCTGGCACCTCCTAAAAACGGAATGGAGGAAAAATTGACAATGATATCTGCTCTGTCACATGGGGTGCTGTTAAGTCAAATCTACTGGCCAGCACCTAATAACAACATAGGAATTATAATCAGTAAGAAATGTCTCAGGCAGGCAATTTTGATATTAATTTGTGACTTTAGAAATTACAGGACAAAATGTTTCATACTGTCCCGTTTAGAAAAGGATATCTACTGAATGGTTTCACAATTTTAAAAACTGAACAGTAAATCAGTAGAAATATATTCCTGCCCAACTGAAATGTAGTGAGTTTGACAGGGAGGGCATTTCTAAGAAAAGCAAATGTTAGAGGCAATTAGCCAAAATATACTTTAGGAAAACATCTGTAAATTCCTGGTGAATATTCCAACATAATATGTAAATAAGCTGCAATAACAAAGGTTTTAGGTGTCACAGTTACCTACCCCACCAATGGAACAAGAGCTGTTGATGTTATCACAGGACTCCCCAGTGTTGACACAATGTGGGCCAAGAGTATTCGGGGACACATCTCCCAGGTTTGATGACGCAAATGCTGCTACGTATGGTCCCTGTCAAAGAAATACCCAGTTGTCTTTTATCCTTTCTTGTTTTCTCTAATAACTTTCATTAAAAATACAAATATTCAGTATACTAAGATGAACTAGGCAAAATAATTTGCAGATAATAAAAGGAGAATGTTCAATATTATCAGAAAAATTACTTCAGAAAAGGCTCACACTGCAGTCAATCTATTATTATTATTGAAAACATTCCTATTTCCAAACAAGCTGGTTCAAGTTGTACAAGTTCAAACTTACGTCTCAAACAGAAATATTTTTACAAAAACTACAGTGTGCAAAAAAACAAATTCTAAAATGCTGATTCTTCTATCTTATCTCTAGTGTTTTCCCTGGAACTGGGAGAACCACTTGCCCTTTAAAAATAAATATCCTATGGGTTTAAAAAGAAAAAAAGCAAATCCACATTTTCCTGTTTCAAACTGAACCCAAATATACCATCCCCTCTCCTGACTTGCACTCCATTTATCTTTTCACCTTGAAGTAAATAACATATAACCCTTCAGAGTGAAGACTGGTCTATAACTCGAGCTCAAATGCTTCAAATTTCTTGGGGAAAGAGATAAACAAGGATTAGAGTGTGGAAGTCTTTTTTGATAAAATCATATCTTATCTCAAAGTGTTTTTAGCCAGTGGTCATAAATATGAACCTACTTTCTTGTCCATAAAACTATAAGCTAAAATGGGGAAAAAAAAAAAAAAAAGTAGAGTTATATTAACAACAAGCTAAAAGATGACCTGAATGTTATTCAGGTTGAATGTTCTTGAGACTTTATAACAACAACAAAATTTTTTTTTTCTGTCAAGGTCATGGGTTTTCACCAACCCTCTTCACCATTTTCTGCATGTGGATGCTGGAGTCAAAAAGGACAAGGTCCTTACTCCCACTACGCTGTTGTTATTAAGTGCTGTCAAGTTGGTTCCAACCCACAGCGATCCCGTATAGGGATTCCAAGGAGTGACTGGTGGGTTTAAACTACCAATGCTGTGGTTCAAACTGACCTTGCAGTCGAGCACATTAACCCACAAGCCACTCATTTATTAATACAGAGCTGAGGAGCTTCTTAGAGTATATAGACTGGGTTTTTGTTACTCACAGGGTTTCACGGTTACAATTCTAGTAAATTAGGGATGTGTCTGACTTAAGCTGTATTACAGGCAAATCAAATAGGGTCCTTGAAAGGGGATTCACCATTAAGAGAGAAGTCTGGACCAGTAACATCCCATGACTTACCCCTAGTCCTCATTCAGTGTTCTAATACTGTGAAGAAAGTACTTAGTACCTTTTATAACTCTGAAAACAAAAGTAAATATCAATACAGTCTATCATATTTCCGGGTTAATCAAAACCATTATATATTGCAAAAGTCTTGAACTTGTCCTTCTTTACCCAACTAACTGTAACTTGATAAAGCCATCAATATAAGATGCATATGAAACAAAGAATAAGTGGCATATTAGTCATTTTTTAAACTTTTCTTTCCTAATTTGGGAGGGTAGTAAACTCTTTCTATCCAGAAATATCATCTGTGAGGTTCATTATGGCAATTTGTTCTAGAGATTTGAATCAGCTATTCTGAACACAGCAGGCTTAGTGACAATGCTTAATGAATGAAGATGAAGCATCCAAGGATATAAATTCTCACCTCTCCAGGTAGATGTCCTCTGTTCATCTCTTGTTCAAAAAGGTAAGATGCATAGCCCATATTGTCACTATTTACAAGATGGTTAGTGTTGTTCATGCTGACCGGATGTATGGCAAACCAGCTGTAAAAGAACAAGAAGACCTAAATGAATCAAGCAAAACAGAGAATTGAGATCAAAATCAGTGAGTAATATTTTTCTCCAGAAAAATAATTATAATTATAGGTATTTCATATTTAGATGTTTTCACCTTTAAAGAGACTGAATTATAAATAATATTCTCAAGCAATCTGATCATTCATTTAAATCAAAACCACAAAACTCTACTTTCATGAATATTGCATTATGATCATATTCATCATCAGCTTTTAACAACAGACAAGATGGGTAAATTGCTGGATGATGGACTTACAGACTTGCATAGAGATGGAACTTGACCTCCAAGACAGACACATGCACAGTAATTATTCAAATCAATTCAGAAAAGATTAACTAAGAGATTCCTGTGTGCCAAATGGTAAATAAATTGTGATCTTAGAATCTCACAAAAGACAGAGATGTCAACAAACGTCTTTACTGCCTTATGACCAATGTTACACAGAAATAGAAAAATAAAATTAATTGCTACCTCCTCTGGGAGACCACAGAAGAGGTAGCACTCAATTCTTAGGGGCATTCCAGGGAGGAAGAAGAACTGAACATCACCCATCAGTTGAGGAGAAAGACCTGGTGATATAATCCTGTAAAAATTCAGCCTAGGAAGCTTTAAGGAATGGTTCTATCCTGTAACAGGTATCAGTGAGTCAAAACCGACTCGACAGGACACAAAAACAACAACTCTACTTCATTTGGAAGAAGAATGGAGTACGTCAAAAAGCATTGCTAAAAAATCTTAGGACTCTTTATCAAACAAAAAATGTAAAGTTATTGTTTCTTGACACACCTTCCATCTAGGTTTGTACACTTCTACAAGGTGATATTTCCATCTATCTAACCCTTCCTCAAAGACTTCTACACAATTCAATTTAGTTCTCACATCCTTTAGGGATGTGTTCACAAACTGTGTTCCTTTTAAGTGTTCTTTGGATTTGTGTAAAAAAGCAGTCTGGAGGGACAAAATCAGGGCCACAGGGCAGTTATCCTGGCCTTTTTCTCACCAACGCACTTTTCAATTTTTTAAAAACTTCTTCATAATAAGTCTCCATGGATATCCTTCAAGAAAATCTGTCAAGATTACTCCTTTGGAATAATGTTGTTGTTGTTGTCAGGTGCCATCGAATCAGAACCGACTCATAGTGACCCCATGCACAGCAGAACAAAACAATGTCCGATCAAGTGCCAACCTCACTACCGCTGCCACATTTGAGTCCATCAATGATGCCACCTGGCCAATCCATCTCGTTAGGGGTCTTCCCCTTTTTCTCTGACCCTCCATCTCACCCAGCATGACATCCTTCTCCAACGATTGTTTCCTCCGGACAATATGTCCAAAGTAGGAGAGACGAAGCTTAGCCATCTTGGCCTCCAAGAAGCACTCTGGCTGCACTTCTTCCAAAACAGATCTATTGGTTCTTTTGGCAGTCCGTGGCACTTTCAGTATTCTCCTCCAACACCACAACTCAAAGGCATCAATTCTTCTATGATCTTCCTTATTCACTGTCCAGCTTTCACATCCATATGAGGTTATTGAAAACACCATGGCCTGGGTCAGGTGCACCTTAGTCCTCAAGCTGACATCTCTGTTCTTCAATACTTTAAAAAGTTCCTGTGCAGCAGATTTGCCCAATGCAATACGTCGTCTGATCTCTTGACTGCTGCTTCTGCAAGTGTTGATAGTTGATCCAAGAAGAATGAAGTCCTTGACAACTTCAACCTTTTCTCCATTGATAAGGATGCTGTTTATTGGTCCAGTGGTTTGGAATAATAATAATAAAAAAATACAGTCACCGTAACCTTCTGAGATGACTTCTCTACCTTGAATTGAACCAGAAGATTCCCCTCATAAGTCACTACTTTGCTCTCTAAATCATGTTGGTAAATCCAAGACTCATCACTGGTTATGATTCATTCCATATATTATCTTCATTGACCTTCATATTGCTTAAAAAGTTGATAGAAAGTTCAGTTCTTTGAGCTAGCTGATAATTGCATAATGCTTTTTATTTATTTATTTATTTTAAGGCACCCTAAAGAGACTATTGGAGGTGTTAAATGAAACCCAGACCACGGATCGGTGGGGTGAGAGGTGTCTGGAGACCAGACCAGGTCGATGGGGAGACGCTGCCTAGTGGGAAGAGACTGCAGGGGCCGGCCAGGCTGTCCTACTTACCCTGGACATGAGAGCACCATCCTAGCCTAACCACTGGATCATGGCTTTGAGGCGGGGGTCGACCAACTTAGAGACCCACAAGTGCAGCCCAAAGCATCTCACTACAACCCAGTCACCCCTGCTGAGCTTCCGCCTCTTGATTGACATCTGAAGCTGGAAATCCAGACTTTGAGCC